TCGTGGATTTAGGAGTGTTTTGTCATTATATTCTGGATTATGCTTGGCTCCTTTGTCATCTTTTACTGAGGATGGGCATCTTTGAATATCAAAATGAAGAAAAGAGTGCAAAAAATTTATATGTATAGCAACTGCATTAAAGAACTTTATGGAAAAAAAAATAAAAACAGGTGAACAGGCAGGATTTAATGCAGAAGAGACATGCTAAACAGGCTAGGTAGCAGCTTTTATGATGCAGCACAGTCCATACTCTGGCCGAGGGGGGTGCAAAGGGGAGAGGACCTAAAATCAACACTGCTGAATTAGTTCAGTTTATGGAAGGAGGGGGGCGCGCTTTGGCCTTTTTTACCTTGGGTGACCCAACAATTAATATTGGCCTTTTGGTGTTGCCTTTTATAATTGAGCTGATGCGCTCACACAGAGGAAAAACATGGCTTGGCACCAAATGGCTGGTATTTTTACCATGGCTGATATGCTGCAAGTAGACCTCAACAGTCCTGAAAAAAGCACACATTGCAGAGCCCTTTCCATGTACTGTACTGCTTTGTTAAAGCGGAGATCCACCCAAAATGAGAATTTCCGCTTTAAGTCCTTGTCCCCCACTCCCTATTAAGGATTTGGCACCTTTGAATTTAGCAGGTACCCACTCCCACTTCCAACAAGATTGGCTGCTCATCACATATTTTACTGGAAAGAAAAAAAATCTTACATTTCCTATACATTGAAAGAGACATTTCAATATACAGACAAATCTAAGTCATCAAAGATGACATGTTGGAGTTTTAGGCTAGACGCTCCTTCTGTTTGTCTTCCGTAAAAGAGTAAAACTTCTTCCCCATTTCATAGTTGAGCCATAGGCGATCACTTAGGCAATTGGAAGCGGAGGTTGTCCTCCCTCCCTACCTCCCCATAGTCTTCTGGGACACGTGATAAGCCCCAGAAGACTACGGGGCCATTCACAAAGAACATCACTTCTCACACATGCGCAGTGGGGACCCAGCTGTGAAGTCCCAAGCTGTCACAGCCGGGTGCCCACATTGAAGATGCCAGCGCCAGGGAGAGAAGACGGACGGTGAAACCAGCGGTGGTGAGGACACTGCTGGACCAAGGGACAGGTAAGTGTCGGTATTTTAAAAGTCAGCAGCTACAGTTTTTGTAGCTGCTGACTTTTATATTTTTTTTTTCAGGTGGAACTCCACTGTAAGTGCTTGCGTATCATCCTGAAACTGGCTAATCGCTACCAAATACATACCTGAAGTCTGTATTTTGAATATTTTGGGATACCAGGATAAGAGAGGGGGTTTGGGGAATGTGAAACTGTGATTTTGAAGTAATTTGGTGAACTCCCTCCTAGATTGTAAGCTCGAAAGAGCAGGGCCCTTGAATCCCTTGTGTTCTGTTTTGTTACTATATTGTCTCATGTTCTGTCCCCCACTATAATGTACAGCGCTGAGCAAACCTTTTAGCGGTATATAAATACTGTATAATAATAATATAAAAAATAACTCTGACATTTTATGAATCTTTTAAGAAAAAACAGTGTGCTACTGCAGTAAAAAAGTACACTATACTATCAAACTGCTGTGCTACTGGGTAATCTGTATGAAGTTGATGGCTTGCGCTATATTTATTTTGCAGAGTGCAATTTGCTTTTAGATCTGTTGTGGCTTGCTACTACTCCCCCTTCAAATTGAATTCATGTCTGCTACAGATAGTTAAAGAAATCAGGTGTCACATCCACATCTACCTAAGAAAGCATTTTTTTTCCTTGTTAGAATAACAAATTAGATTGGGGTGCTTCTGCTATATTAATGGCAAACAATAGGCTAAAAGTTTAAAAAAATGTATTGGCTATCCGTGAGAATTGTACTGTTTCCTAAAGCAGTACTCAACTCCTCCCAATCCCCCCTCCCCCCAATGTTTTTACCCAATTACCTGTAGTGCTGTAGTGTACTTCAAAGCACATATTCACCGGTATATTGAATCCACTGTTACCCCACTGCGACACGCTGTTCAGGCAGCCAGCTTTGATGATGCGCCAGACCTGCTATTCTGACTCAGATTGTTGTGATAGCGATTTATCCCTTGTAAGACCTCTCTGCCTAACCTGTATAAACAGATATAATCACTGTGGACAATCCTTATCAGATAGCTGAACTCACCAATACTGTGTTTATCCAGAAGTTGCTTTATTCTGTACATGTGAAACAGGATACAGCAGAATGAATGGTTTCCAGTATTATGCGGTCAAAAGATGATACTTTCTGTAGCTTACTATGCAGAATACATGTGTCCCTGTTACATGTGGTCTGTTAGCTGCCTCCATGACACAGGAAGTGCTGTACTCAAGAAGAAGGGAGGAGCTTCATATACAAAGGAACTGTGTCATAGATCTCAGGGAGGTAATATAAAACAAATGCATTACCAAATAAGGCCACTGGATGGCAGCATTACTAATTATAGAAATGTCCATAGGAAATGGTACAAAGAATAAACTATATGAATTCTCATGAACATTAACATAAATATTAACTGTGTAACAGCATACCTGCCCTAACTCTCTCTCCTAAGCCAGAGTATGTGTGTGTGTGTTTGGGGGGTACTAAAAATTAAAAAAATTGGAAAAAAAACATGAGGAGAAGAACTCAGATCTGTCTATTCTAACAGCGGGGGCATTTGCAGAATACAATATCACAGCAGGGAAGGCAAATGTTGCAGCAAAGTCCAGTTGCAGGGGCCCAGGAAGATGATGCAGCATCTGTCTGTCGGAGATCTGAAGACAAGATCAGTCATCATGGGGGGATCCTCTAACTGCTGTCCAACCAGCCAGCAATGGAAAGTTTCTCCAGCAGGAACTGTTGTGTGGAACTGGAATTCGGACTCATCCTATCTACTCTGCACTTTAGTCCCTCTAGAAGTGTATAGTAGTCTCTTCTGGTCCAGTATTTAGTAGCATGGACAGGACATGTGGCTAACACTTTCTTTCTTTTCCCACTTCCTCCTCCCAGGGTTTCAAAGCCAACAACCCAGGGACTGGAAATGAATACGTAACATATTTACAGACATTTAAAAATTCAGACAGTAAAGGGCAGTAGATCCCTACAGGTATTTTGCAATCCAGACTGTTATCGCCTTAACATGGTTGTAAACCCTTACATATACCCAGTGAAGCAACTGATCTCCAGTGATACACATAGATGAAAGAAATCCACCGACATAAGTTGTACTTGTTTATCTGCAGTCTTTACTTCTCTACATCTGTTCAAAGTACAGAATTTTTAAAGCTCGTCCGAGAATTCAGAAAAAAGGGTGAGGAGAAATTACACACTGCAGAGCTCAGTGAGGAGAGCTCTGAGAGCTGATTAAAGGGAAGGGACACCCCCCCCCCCCCTCCCAATAGCTCACAGGAACAGAGCTGAGGCTGTCAATCTGCTGGAGCTCCCTCCCTTGTCACCATTTTTCTCTTGGTGTCAGGAAAACTTGTCAGAAGTGAATCAAGCTGATAGCAGAGGATAGAAGCAGAAGACAGAATGACACCTAATGCTCTGGATTGAGACAAGTACACATTATATGCTTATATGCATATAGTGTGTACTACACAATATTGCCAAAATTGTTGGGACACCTCTCCAAATCATTGGATTCAGGTGTTCCAATCACCTCCATGGCCACAGGTGTATAAAATCAAGCACCTAGGCATGCAGACTGCTTCTACAAACATTTGTGAAAGAATGGGTCACTCTCAGGAGCTCAGTGATTTCAAGCGTGGTACCGTGATAGGTTGTCATCTGTGCAATAAGTCCATCCGTGACATTTCCTTCCTACTAAATATTCCACGGCCAACTGTTAGTGGTATTTTTACAACGTGGAAGCAACTGGGAACAACAGCAACTCCACCAAGTGGTAGGCCAAGAAAAATGACAGAGTGGGGTCAGTGCAAGCTGAATCGCATAGTGTGCAGAAGTCGCCAACTGTCTGCAGAGTCAATAGCTAAAGACCTCCAAACTTTGTGTGGCCTTCAGATTAGCACAACAACAGTGCATAGAGAGCTTCATGGAATGGGTTTCCATGGCGCAGCAGCTGCATCCAAGCCTTACATCACCAAGTGCAATGCAAAGCGCCGGATGCAGTGGTGTAAAGCACACCGCTACTGGACTCTAGAGCAGTGGAGACGTGTTCTTTGGAGTGACCAATGTTTCTTCTCCATCTCGCAATCCAATGGACGTGTCTGGGTTTGGTTGTTGACAGGAGAACAGTATTTCCCTAACTGCAATTTGCCAAGTGTAAATTTTGGTGGAGGGGGAATTATGGTGTGGGGTTGTATTTTAGGGGTTGAGCTTGGCCCCTTAGTTCCAGTGAAGGGAAATCTTAGGGCGTCAGCATACCAAGACATTTTGAACAATTTCATGCTCCCAACTTTGTGGGAACAGTTTAGGGATGGCCTCTTTCTGTTCCAACATGACTGTGCACCAGTGCACAAAGCAAGGTCCATAAAGATATGGATGAGTGAGATTGGGGTGAAGGAACTTGACTCGCCTGCACAGAGTCCTGACCTTTGGGATGAATTAGAGTGGAGACTGCAAGCCAGGCCTTCTCTTCCGACATCAGTGCCTGACCTCACAAATGTGCTTCTGGAAGAATTTTCAAACATTACCATAGACACACTCCTAAACCTTGTGGACAGCCTTCCCAGAAGAGTTGAAACTGTTATAGCTGCAAAGGGCGGGGCCAACTCAATATTGAACCCTACGGACTAAGCCTGGGATGTCATTAAAGTTCATGTGCATGTAAAGGCAGGCGGCCCAATACTTGTGTCAATATAATGTGTATATATACTGTATATGGTTTGAGACAAACACACTCTAGAGCAGTGGTTCTCAACCTTTCTAACGCCGCGACCCCTTAATACAGTTCCTCATGTTGTGGTGACCCCCAACCATAAAATTATTTTCGTTGCTACTTCATAACTGTAATTTTGCAGTAGGAGGAATTAGTGCCACGTCATTGGTGTCAGTGGGAGGAATAGTGCCCCGTCATTGGTATCGTGGGAGGAATAGTGCCCCGTCATTGGTGTCAGTGGGAGGAATAGTGCCCCGTTCATTGGTGTCAGTGGGAGGAATAGTGCCCCCGTCATTGGTGTCAGTGGGAGGAATAGTGCCCCGTCATTGGTGTCAGTGGGGAATAGTGCCCCGTCATTGGTGTCAGTGGGAGGAATAGTGCCCCGTCATTGGTGTCAGTGGGAGGAATAGTGCCCCGTCATTGGTGTCAGTGGGAGGAATAGTGCCCCGTCATTGGTGTCAGTGGGAGGAATAGTGCCCCGTCATTGGTGTCAGTGGGAGGAATAGTGCCCCGTCATTGGTGTCAGTGGGAGGAATAGTGCCCCGTCATTGGTGTCAGTGGGAGGAATAGTGCCCCGTCATTGGTGTCATGGGAGGAATAGTGGGAGGAATAGTGCCGCATCATTGGTGTCAGTGTGAGGAATAGTGTCCCCATCATTGGTGTCAGTGGGAGGAATAGTGTCCCATCATTGGTATCAGTGGGAGGAATAGTGTCCCATCATTGGTATCAGTGGGAGGAATAGTGCCCCATCATTGGTATTAGTGACACCAATGATGGGGCACTATTCCCACTGACACCAATGATACTTACCTTGCAGACCCCTGCTCCAGCCTGGGCTCGCTCGCTCCCTCCCTCTCCCATGGTACCAACACTTACCTGTCAGATGTCTTCCTTCTCCGGCCGCTCTCCTCCTCTTCACTCGCTCGATCTTTGCGGTGCGGCTCGGCTCCTCCTCTCCAAGCTCCACCTCTTTGCCGGTGATTGGCCGCCTGTGTGCCTCTCCTGAGCTACAGTGCCGGCGGCCAATCACAGGCGAGGATTGATCTCGAGGTGTGTCCAGATGACAGGGGCGGCATGTCATCCCGCCCACACCTGGAGACGGCGGTGGCGGCGGCGGCGGCGGCGAGGAGCGGTGTCTCGGTTCCTAAGACCATCGGAAATATGTGTTTTTCCGATGGTCTTAGGCGACCCCTGTGGAAGCGTCGTTCGACCCCCAAAGGGGTCGCGACCCCCAGGTTGAGAACCGCTGCACTAAGACATTCAGAAAGGAGACAGCAGCTAATATACTTTTACATGCTGCAAGCTACCATCCTAAGACTTGAAACAAGGTATACCAATTGGCCAATTTCGAAGAATCAAGAGGAATTGTTCGGATGATGATCAGTATAGAATGGAATCATTTCAACTTTATCAAAGGTTTAGGGAAAGAGGATACTCACATAGAGTACTAAGAAGTGCCAAACGAAAAGCTTCTTATAAGATTAGAAATTAATTGATTAATAAAATAAACCCTAAGAAAATTGATAGACCACAGAATCAACCAGTGAGGTTTATAACCAAATTTGGACAACAGTGGAATGAGGTCAAAGAGGTTTTAAATTCACATTGGCACCTACTAACATTGAGCCCAGGAATAGCACAAATTTTAGGTAAAAGGTCATTGATGGTAGCCAAAAGAGCTTCTAATCTGAATGACTTATTGGTTCAGTCGGAATTTAAGAAGGCCCCTAGGGCTAATTAACTAACTAAGAATAATAAGGTGGTAGGTATGTTTCCATGCGGTCACTGTCAAATTTGTCCCTTTGTACATAAAATGGACCAATTCTCTAATACTGATAAATCCCAAGTTTTTCAAATTAAAAATTTCATCAATTGTTCCATTAGTAAAGTGATTTACATGATCGAATGTCCATGTAAAAAGATCTAGGTAGGAAAGATTAAAAGGACATTGAGAGTTAGAATTGGGGAGCATTTGAGGGACATTAAAAATGGTAATAAAACTAGAAGTGAGAAAGAGAGAGAGAATCCTCTAGCTCAGCATTTTAGGGATGTCCACATGGGGAGAACTGATGGACTGAAAGTATAGGGATTTTTTCTGTTGAATATTTCTGCAAGGCGAGGTGACTTTGATAACGTACTCCTCCAAAAAGAAAAATATTGGATTTATACTCTTGGTACTTTACTGCCACAAGGCCTAAACACAGAACTTAATTTTAAAGTGTTTTTGAATTAAGTAAGGAGTTACATTTTATTGGATTTAAAATGTCTACAATACCACTTGAAAATATGGAAATATATTATTTTTCTCTTTAAAAAGTCAGTTTGAACACTATCTTAAGTAACTCTATTTAAATTGAGCCCATTTCCCTAATGTTCCTTTACAATCATGTTTTTCTATGTGATTTTGATTTTAATGTAGTGATGACATTTCAACACAAGATGGCGACGTAAGCGGTTTAAAAAGGCGCAATTAAGGCACTATATAAGGCAATGGATGACTTGTCCCCTCCCAGTTCTGACGTAGTCTGCGATGATTGGCGGACAAAACGTGTCAACGTAATGACATCATCACACTCGGCATCTTCATAGGGTGCGGTATCCACGAGGAGAGAAGAAGCAATCAATGCAGCTCCATCTTGGATAGGCACGAGGCGATATAGAATATGACGAGGCAACCGTTTTAAAGAGTCTTTTTGGCGATTTAAGAGACACAGCTCACTTCCACCTGTGGCAAGTAATAGTCTGTTAGGCTGAGTCACTTTAGACCGCAATTTTTAACGGGTGCATATCCCGAACGCTGGTTGTTTTGCCTAAAGCCCTGTTTGAGGGAAATTTTTGGACTCTAGCTGGTATATGATATATACTATGCTGTAAATGGTCAATGAGATGGGAAGCATGTCTCATATACATCCACTAGGAACCGCACTATTTCTCTATTAAGAGCAATTTTTGGAAACCCCGATGTGGAATTTATATTATAATTTGATGTCTGCATGATCTTTTTGATCACCTATATTATTATCCTGGATCCTCACCTCCTTATTATTATTATTATTATTATTATACAGTATTTATAAAGCGCCAATAGTTCACTCAGCGCTGTACATTACAAAGGGGGACAGAACATGTGACAGAACAATACCAATACAATGCAAAACATGAGGGGATCGAGGGCCCTGCTCTTTCGAGCTTACAATCTAGAAGGGGTGGGATAGTGGTACAGGAGGAGATAGCTGTGGGGGATGGAGTGGTAGGAAGAGTGGAGGAGGTCAGCAAGTTAGCAAGGGGTGAGGTAGGCTTCCCTGAAGAGATGGGTTTTCAGGGTGCGCCTAAAGGAGAGGAGAGTAGGTGATAATCTGATGGGTTGGGGCAGGGAGTTCCAGAGGATGGGTGACACCCTGGAGAAGTCCTGGAGGCGGGCATGGGAGGAGGAGACCAGGGAACTAGAGAGAAGGAGGTCTTGTGAGGAGCGGAGTGTGCGTGCTGGGCGGTACTTGGATATTAGGTCAGTGATGTAGTTCGGGGCAGTATGGTGGACAGCTTTGTACGTCAGTGTTAGGATTTTAAATTTGATCCGTTGCGCAATCGGAAGCCAGTGGAGGGATTGGCAGAGGGGGGTGGCGGAAATGGAGCGGTTGGAAAGGTGAATGAGTCTGGCAGCCGTATTCAGGATCAACTGAAGCGGGGATAGCCAGCGGCGAGGGCAGGCCAGTGAGGAGGGAGTTGCAGTAGTCGAGTCGTGATATGATGAGGGAGTGGATGAGCTGTTTAGTGGTTTCTGGGGTTAGGAACGTGCGGATTTTGGCGATGTTGCGGAGGTGGAGTCTGCACGAGTTTGTTAAAGATTGGACTTGGGGCTGGAAGGATAGGTTGGAGTCCAGAATGACACCAAGTACTCTGGCCTGCAGAGCGGGTTTGATATTGACGTTGTTGGATGTGATGTAGAAGTCAATGGGGGGTGGGGTTCGGGCTGGGGGGAAGACAAGGAGCTCGGTTTTGGAGAGATTCAGTTTAAGGAAGTGGAGCGACATCCAATCTGATATGTCGCTCAGTAGGTGTGTGATTTGGGCAGAGACCGAAGGGGTGAGGTGGGGGGTTGAGAGATAGATTTGTGTGTCGTCGGCATAGAGGTGGTAGTTGAAGCCGTGAGAGTGTATGAGTTGGCCAAGGGAGGAGGTGTAGATGGAGAAGAGAAGGGGCCAAGGACAGAGCCTTGAGGGACCCCAACAGAGAGGGGGAGTGAGGGGGAGGTGGTAGCATTATAGGTAACGGCTGGATCCATACCCCGCTTCCTGGAAGACTTCTCCTCCTGGCTACCCTTCTTCCTCTCCTCTGAGCTACCCACCATCATTCTTGGGGATTTCAACATCCCTGTCAACCTTGACAACCCGGACACAGCCCGTCTCCTCCACTTAACCTCCTCCTTTGCACTTGCACAGTGCATACAATCCACCACCCACTCCGACGGTAATATCCTTGATCTTGTCTTCTCCAACCGCTGCGCTCCCCACAACCTCACTAACACCCCCTTCCCTCTCTCTGACCACAACCTGATCACCTTCTCTATCTCCTCGTCCTCCAACAAAAACCCCTCCACATAGGATTTTTTCCACATTTTGGTGAAAAGGAAGGGAATTTTTTCTGACCTCTATTATGGTAATTCACATTACTTCATTCATGATAGATACTTTAGTATCACTGAGAATTTATTTCACTAATATATTGACTATTCACATTTATCCATTTTAAGGCTACGTTCACACTAGCGTTGTGTGCAGGCGGCAGAGAAGTGTTTGGGAAGCGTTTTTACCGCTTCCCAAATGCCTCTGACAATTCTGCACATTGCAGCACATGGTGCTGCATTGTAACGGGAGTGTTAGCGTCGCGGCAAAACGGACGCCTCTGGTCGAGTCAGGAGGCGTTGAAGCCTCATATTCCAGTCTATGGTGCCGCTCCGCAAACACCCGGCCAGCGTTTGCGACGTGGTTGCGGGGCGTTTGCGGAGCGGTAACGCCATTTAAACTTCATTATAGGCGTTTGCGTTGCCTTTTTAAAGCACGGCAAACGCCTAGCAACCGCCGCTGAACCGCGCTTGCGGCGTTTGCGGAGCGTTTGCGGAGCGTTAAAAAACGCTCCGCAAACGCCAGACCGACGCTTGCCAAACGCTATAGGGGCGTTTGGCAAGTGTTGGTAAAACAGTCAAGTGTGAACGAGCCCTTAGAGTCATCTAATACTGTGGATTCATTTCCAACTGGGGTGGTTATCCAGGAAGGTTTTACATCCATTACATGTGCATGATGGCACAGCCTATGAGAAGGTAATAGAGAGCTATATGGTAACCTGAGCATATGCATCCTTTATGGGTGAATATAACATGACAATCCCTTGTTTCCTCTGCATTCATCATTTTTCCATGATTTATTCCTAGGAATTCATCCAGTTTCATTGTGTGTTTCATGAAGGAACAGTCCAAGAAGAATTTTTCTTCACTAGGATGCTTCATATGGAACTCTATTGCTGATGAATACAGGATGGAAACTCGATTGCCTTCTATGGTTTAGTTCTTGCTCATACAACCGTTTGTGAAGACGCCGAATGGTTCTTTCATTTTAATTCTTTGATTTTACTATGATTGCAACATGTGCACCATGTGAATCTCAAACCTTTTCTATGATTCATTTGATCTAATAAATACAACATTGCATTGAATTTTTTCTGGTGAATATTACTCCGCTTGGAATCAGATTAACCATTTGTCAGGTAGTTATGCACTAGTCAACTGCCACTTTTTTTGTGTTCCATACCTATCCGTATGCCTGTGTGAAGGGCTGTCTTTGTCCATTCAGAAAGCACAGGTGTGTGGGGAGGTGCAGCGTGGTGCAGCGGGGGAACACACAGAGTCCAGCTGCAATAAAATGTGGAACTTATATTGAAGAAAAGCCCTACAAAACTACAAACACCCAGGCAAAAAAGCACCTGTTAGGAATGGACTGGCCAGCAATGGTGGGACTCACCTGCCTTTTGATCTGCAGTACCAGGGCTGGCCAGCGGGTGTTCCCTGCAATCAGAGACTCAACTTTGCAGCCAGCTAACACCTGGAACTGATTATGCTGGGGTATTTAAGGGATGGCCAGACCCACAGACTCTGCCTTGGTGTTGTGTTTGTCCTGGGCCCTGCATCCTGTTTCTGTCCTGCATCCTGTTTCTGAACCGCTGCTGACTTCTCCTGCTCTGATCCCGGCTCGCTCCTGACCAACCCTCTGTCTGACCCTCTGTACCACGCTGCTTGCTACCTGTTCTGATCCCTGGCTTGTGACCCTGACCAATCTCCGCTTGCTCCCCCTGTACCTACCTGCCTTATTGATATTGACCCGGCCTGCCTGACGACGCTTGCTTGTATGTATTGTTATCTGTGGGTGGTTTGGTTTGTTTGCACTGTATTATGTTTTAGTATTGCACTGCGTTTATGTTTGTACTGTTAGTGTTAATAAATTATATTGTTTATAACATATCTGAGGTCTGCGTTTCCCTGCTTCAGTCACACACCTCTGGTCATACCTGGGAGCCCTGACATTACACCAAGGCCAATCCTGACCAGAAGTGGCTGCACAGGGAAGCCATCTTGGCTTGTTGATGGGAAGGATGGATCTTGATGAGGTTGAGTATTTATATCTGCTAGTGTTTAATGACAGGGAGTATGCTTATCAAACTCTGAAGGAGTATACCCGGGATGAATTGCTAGAATGTATACGGCTCGCTCATGTTCTAGTAGATCAGGGCACAGTGTTCTCTGAGGTGCAGCCATTGATTGAGGTTTGTGCAGAGTTGGTTTCATCTGGTTCCCCCGAATGCAGGGATGAATTTTTGCCACCATTTAGTGCAGACCAGGTAGAGTCCCTGGTGTGGTTATTAGAGGATGATGTGGGTTACTTTCTGGAGCGTTATTCCACATGTTCACCACAGACACTGCGAGATTGTATAAACGCAGTGCAGTCATTGACCAGACAGGCTTTGTGTAAGCTCAGCTTTGTTCAACCCCTACTGCAGACATGGACAGATTTGTTGCACCCAGCCTCAGTCAGCTTACAAAGACCCAGTCCTGCTTCTAACTCTACTCCTGTATTCCCAACAGCTCCTCCAGTTACAGCCCAGTATACTTGGCTATCTACCGCATGTCAGTACCCTGTTCCCACTCGCTGCACCTATCCTGCCTTTAACCCTGTAAAAAAGCCCTCTGTAGCAACTGCTCCCTCTCCTGTTCCATCCTCCAGTTCTTCTCTGTCTCCAGCTGCTCCATTCGTTGCAGACCTGCGTTTACTTGCAGTGCTCCAGTAGTTAAAACCAGAAAAAAGCGAAAATTCTTTCCAACCAATACCATCCTGCCAGTATCCAAACCGGTGAGCCTGCCTTCCGTGGTTCAGACTGAAGCCTCTACGCGGCCTGAAGCCTCTACGCGCCTGAAGCCTCTACGCGGCCTGAAGCCTCTACGCGGCCTGAAGCCTCTACGCGGCCTGAAGCCTCTACGCGGCCTGAAGCCTCTACGCGGCCTGAAGCCTCTACGCGGCCTGAAGCCTCTACGCGGCCTGAAGCCTCTCCTCGGCCTGATGCCTGTACTCTGCCTGATGCCTGTACTCTGCCTGATGCCTGTACTCTGCCTGATGCCTGTACTCTGCCTGATGCCTGTACTCTGCCTGATGCCTCTACTCGGCCTGATGCCTCTACTCGGCCTGAAGCCTCTACCCAGCATGATGAACTGATCCAGCCTGACGATTCAATGTCTGCCCCGGTGCCCGCGGTCATGCCAGTTGACTCGGAGCCACTGCCTTGCCAGATGACGCGGTGCTCGCTGTTCGAGCCAAATGACTTGATGCCTGGTGACCCGATGCCCGCTGTCCAGTCAGACGATCCAATGTCTGACCCAGTGCCCGCGGTCATACCAGTTGACTCGGAGCCCACTGCCTTGCCAGATGACGCGGTGCCCGCGGTCGAGCCAAATGACCTGATGCCTGGTGACCCGATGCCCGCTGTCCAGCCAGACGATTCAATGTCTGCCCCGGTGCCCGCGGTCATGCCAGTTGACTCGGAGCCCACAGCCTTGCCAGATGACGCGGTGCCCGCGGTCGAGCCAAATGACCTGATGCCTGGTGACCCGATGCCCGCTGTCCGGTCAGACGATCCAATGTCTGACCCAGTGCCCGCGGTCATACCAGTTGACTCGGAGCCCACTGCCTTGCCAGATGACGCGGTGCCCGCTGTCGAGCCAAATGACCTGATGCCTGGTGACCCGATGCCCGCTGTCCAGCCAGACCATCCAATGTCTGACCCAGTGCCTGCGGTCATACCAGTTGACTCGGAGCCCACTGTCGTGCCTGGTGTCTCGGTGCCCGCCGCTCCGCCTGGGGGGCCCGAGACCTGTCGCTCCTCCTGGGGGTCCGGCGCCCGCCGCTCCGCCTGAGGGCCCGAGACCTGTCGCTCCACCTGGGGGTCCGGCGCCCGCCGCTCCGCCTGAGGGCCCGAGACCTGTCGCTCCACCAGGGGGTCCGGCGCCCGCCGCTCCGCCTGAGGGCCCGAGACCTGTCGCTCCTCCTGGGGGTCCGGCGCCCGCCGCTCCGCCTGAGGGCCCGAGACCTGTCGCTCCGCCTGGGGGTCCGGCGCCCGCCGCTCCGCTGAGGGCCCGAGACCTGTCGCTCCGCCTGGGGGTCCGGCGCCCGCCGCTCCGCCTGAGGGCCCGAGACCTGTCGCTCCTTCTGGAGGTCCGGCGCCCGTCGCTCCGCCTGAGGGCCCGAGACCTGTCGCTCCGCCTGGGGGTCCGGCGCCCGCCGCTCCGCCTGGGGGCCCGATGCCTGTCGCCCCTCCTGGGGGCCCGATGCCTGTCGCCCCTCCTGGGGGCCCGATGCCTGTCGCCCCTCCTGGGGGCCCGATGCCTGTCGCCCCTCCTGGGGGCCCGGTGCCTGTCGCCCCTCCTGGGGGCCCGGTGCCTGTCGCCCCTCCTGGGGGCCCGGTGCCTGTCGCCCCTCCTGGGGGCCCGGTGCCTGCCGCCCCGCCCGGGGCCCGGTGCCTGCCGCCCCGCCCGGGGGCCCGGTGCCTGCCGCTCCGCCCGGGGGCCCGGTGCCTGCCGCTCCGCCCGGGGGCCCGGTGCCTGCCGATCCGCCCGGGGGCCCGGTGCCTGCTGCTCCGCCTGGTGGCCTGCTGCTTCGCCTGGTAATCCGATGTGCCTCTGCCCCCGGAGTCCTGCCCGATGTGCCTCTGCCCGGAGTCCTGCCCGATGTGCCTCTGCCCGGAGTCCTGCCCGATGTGCCTCTGCCCGGAGTCCTGCCCGATGTGCCTCTGCCCGGAGTCCTGCCCGGTGTGCCTCTGCCCGGTGTGCCTCTGCTCGATGTGCCTCTGCCCGGAGTCCAGCCCGGTGTGCCGCTGCCCGAGTCCTGCCCGTGTGCCAGTCTTTGATATCCCGCCAGTTGCCAGACCCGGGCGGTGGAACATTTTGCCCAGCTAGGACTGTTTGGAGCGTCCTGAGGCCGCTCCTTGAGGGGAGGGTACTGTTAGGAATGGACTGGCCAGCAATGGTGGGACTCACCTGCCTTTTGATCTGCAGTACCAGGGCTGGCCAGCGGGTGTTCCCTGCAATCAGAGACTCAACTTTGCAGCCAGCTAACACCTGTAACTGATGATGCTGGGGTTATTTAAGGGATGGCCAGACCCACAGACTCTGCCTTGGTGTTGTGTTTGTCCTGGGCCCTGCATCCTGTTTCTGTCCTGCATCCTGTTTCTGAACCGCTGCTGACTTCTCCTGCTCTGATCCCGGCTCGCTCCTGACCAACCCTCTGTCTGACCCTCTGTACCACGCTGCTTGCTACCTGTTCTGATCCCTGGCTTGTGACCCTGACCAATCTCCGCTTGCTCCCCCTGTACCTACCTGCCTTATTGATATTGACCCGGGCCTGCCTGACGACGCTTGCTTGTATGTATTGTTATCTGTGGGTGGTTTGGTTTGTTTGCACTGTATTATGTTTTAGTATTGCACTGCGTTTATGTTTGTACTGTTAGTGTTAATAAATTATATTGTTTATAACATATCTGAGGTCTGCGTTTCCCTGCTTCAGTCACACACCTCTGGTCATACCTGGGAGCCCTGACAGCACCGCTAGGGAAACACTCATAGTTCAGTTCAAATGCAGAGATACAGTGGGAGGAGATGTGCCGACAGTGTCTGTTTCAGATGGTAGAGTGCGGCCTGGCCAGTCTGGTCCCAAAGGGAAGGCTTCCTTGCAGGATGGCAAGTCCCTAAATTGTCCCTTCTCTCATTATTATTATCATTATACAGTATTTATATAGCACCAACAGTTTGCTCAGCGCTTTACAAAATAAATGGAGACAATACAGCAACCAGGGCAGTGGATAAGGGGGTACCCCCAGTCCTCATGTACAGGGGACCAGGCTAGCAGGGCGGCCCAGGCAGCTGGGTGAATCTGATGTGGGCAGGGAGGGTGATCAGCTGACAGCCAGCTTCTTCTACTTTCCCTCCCGAAGGCTTTCAGCTGCTGCATAGAGAGCTATACAGGGGTTCCAGTAATTGACCCCCCCCCCCAAATCCATCACACTCACTGTGCACCATACTTTCCTCCCTGCTACCCAGGTCCCCTTGTGCCCCCACCCCAACAGTGCTGCCTACTTCCCTCCTTCCCTTCCCACCAGCAGCTGCAAGCACACAATAGTGTCCTTCAGAATGGAGAGTTGGGGGAAGGGTCAAGTTAATATGTCACATTTACCAGCCCCTTTCCTGAATGAACACAATGAGTGTTTGGTACTGATCATTCACTGTGTTCATTCATAACTGAAGCATAGGGAACTATGTTTTTTTTGGGGGGGAGGACTGTTGGGTTGGCAGTATGGGGCCCTGTGGGTTCTAACAGCAGCCCTGACAGCAACACTACGGTTTAATACAAGAGGTTTAGGCAGGCCCTGCTCCTTGGAGCTTCTCATCACTAACCTTTCCCTGCCGCTAATCACTTTCCCTGACATGCAGGGTCTCTCTCTCTCTACTCTATCCACTTCGCCAAAAGTGCACCAAAACCTGGGGGCAGGGACTTATAAAAGGCTCTGCTGACCCAAGATGGTCTCCAGGGGTCACTTGGATGCAGCATAGCCAAAAAGAACGCTGCTTCCAAGACCCAAGAAACCATAGATAAACCTTGTTTTCCTTAACATCCTCTCCAGCTGTCGTACAACTCAGGTTGAGCGCCACCTACAGTGGAGAAAACAGACTGCACCTGCCTATAGGTATTTCATGTATCCGTGCGCAGGTAGGCCTATTCATTTCTATTGGATCTATTGTGGCAACACAGCTGCTGGTCCCACTTTGGCAACTGTGCAGGTGCGGGTGCATGTTCCCGAAAGCACACTATTCACATGCAGGAACATGCATCTACACCTTTGTCCATTTGGGATCAGTGGCTGTTTGCATCACAATAGACATGAATTGAACTGCCTGCACATGGATGCATAGAGCACCCGTGTATCACGTGCGAGCAAAGAACGGCCCTTTGCGTGGGTATATGGATAGGTACACCCATGTGAATGAGGCCTAACTGAATTATTATTATAAGGGATTTACAAATGTACATAGTGACAAAAGTTTATGTTGTGCTTTAAGTCCTCATGCACACGGGACGTTTTGATAACACTGGTAACGTTCGCTGTGTAAAGTCACATTAAAAACGTGAGTTTTTCAGCTTTTTTTTTTAGTGTTTTTGCATTAGTGTTTAGCGGCCTTTTGCCATGATTAATGGTGTTTTCCCGCGTTTGCGATTTTTAGCATTTTTTTAAGCCCAAAAAAGTTAAAAAACGCCGGTTTGTGGCGTTTTACCGCGTTTGCCGCATTTTTCAGTGTTAGAGCGTTTTTACAGCTTAAAAACTCTAGAAACCCACTATTTTTGTTTTTTTTTTTTCCCAGCCAAAAAAACATTGATTACTGCTCATGTCTGCATGGACACATTGGGTAACATGCTGGGGAGTTTATTGACAGTAGGAAAAAACTCCAAATGCCAAAAACGTCCAGTGTGCATGAGGGCTAATAATGAAAAAGCCATTTTGTATCACCTCCAGGCCTAGTAACACACCGTGCAGCTTACCAGAATTTTTGATCACATAAATTGAGGAATAGTCTGCTCCTCCTGTTTGTATTTTTTTCTGTGTTGTGTTGCACTGTATCAGGTCCATAATGTTCTGTTGTATGCTGACACCTAGAGGCAGTTCAGGATCACTAAAACTTGTTTTCATTGTGATTTTTGAATCTCCTTCTGCCTAACCCTCCTGTTTAGTGCAAGTTAGTTCAGTCTTAGGTAGACCCCACATTGTTTCCTCCATGTTCCCTCTGTCAGTATATAGCAGTCTTTCTCAACTTTTTTGACTCTAGCACCCTGTTGCCCAACCTGCGGCCCTTTAGTAAATGATATGTGAGCCACGGACCTCAGCAGCCTGTGATGGGATCATTGATTAGTGTAATAGCACTGATCTCCACCAGCCTCATGTAACATGTACCCAGCTTTGTGTTGTCTTCTGCAGCATATCTGCAACCATAAATGTATCCTGTCCACCCTCTCTGGCCATCATTTCCTCTATTAAGTCAGAAGTTCCTGACAGTCCTCTCAAGCATTACATATATTGAACATTATGTGCGGCATTTGAGGCCCCCTTTAGCTCATAAATTGAAAACCACTGCCCCTAAAATAATTTTCAGGTCTTAGGAAACCCCTACTAAAACTAGTTTATTGGAGATCAGTGGGAAAAAAATGTACCTACATTTAAGGCCAGTGGGAAAAATGTCACCCTTGTAGTGATGATCAGAACACCATATAGCTAAAAAGATCCTTGGTGCCATTGCACTGGCTCTACCCTGGTGCTGGAACTAATGTATGTAGGCAATATCCAATGGAAGGACAATCAGCCACAGCTTAAGAGACCCCTAGAAGCTTCTGGAGGAACCCTAGGGTTCCATGTTCCGCTGGTTGACAATGGTGACATTAATACAAATAATATCTTTTCGATACTCCCTCACCCCACCCACACCAGTGCAAAACAAATACCAACAAATGTCCACATATAAGTCCAAAAAATAAAGTGCTTTTCAATAAGTAGTGCTTTTTCAAACGTTGAGGAACACTCCACTTTGCTGAATTTCAATCCAGGACCTCAAATCAGGATACCTCAAAAAAATAAAAACTCAATATAGTGCATTATCATTACAGCAAAAGAACACTCGTGAAAAACTAAAAGTGATTCCTCCTGGACTCCCACCCGTGATGAAACAGCACTCCAAAATGTGATACAGTGCAACACTCCACACCAGTGTTACTATCCAAATAAACTAAATACCATTACCCTCTAATAAAACCATGCATCCAAATGAGATAGTGCCATCTCTCTTGTGATATAAATACTATTACCCTCTTGCAATGCAGACCAAGCAAAAAAACTCCTTCAAGGCAGTCCAGAGTTTCCCCCTCTTCGGAAGCTTCTATTTGCTTCCAATCCACCTTCCCAGTTCCTCAAAGGGGCAGATAATACAAAACTCAATGAAGTATATATAAAAGGATTTCACAATTTATTTCGTAGCTTACATAAAAAAACGCCAGCGTCCATCCTCTCCCACATTCCATGTAA